GAGAGAGTCGAAAATGAGAGTCACGATCGTCCCAGGACAAGTGTAACATAAGACAGTATTCGTGCGGTTCGTGACCTTCTGGAGACCAAAATTGCTGTTCATTTTGGAAACAGTTAGGACAGTATCCTAAAATCATCTCATATGAGCTGGGATACAACAAAGTGTCAGCTCGTTGGGTCCCGCGTCTTCTCACGGAGCAGCATAAAAATGTTCGTTTTGATATCTGCTGACAGCTTCGACTGGATTGAGACAGAAGGGGACTCTCCATGTGATTTTCATATGTTTGAACCCCTGAAAGAGACAGGAGGCGTTCGTGCACAATTGGCTCACAACACGTCCACCTTCCTTTTATAATGACGGTATAAAAAAGTTAGATTAGGAAAAATGCGTTTCCAGAACAGGAGATTACGTAGAAAAATAAAGAAATTTGTATTTTTATTTCATATAAAAAAATTTTAAAAAGAAGCTCTTTATATTTGATCCACCTTCGTATCACAATAGTTTCATTTTTAAGAAAAAATATAGAGAAAGATTTTAAGAGATATATAAATTGATATTATTTTTAATTAATATCACACAAAACTTATTTAAAATCTGTTTAAATATTCCTTTTATATTTTCTTTTAAATATGATAATACTTTTATAATGTTAAATGATATTTGTAACATATATTATTTATATTAAGTAAACCTCTGATTCATAATCGATTTAATATCAAATGCGACATTAATTGGAATGTTTTTCAATTAATAAAAAAAATGAAGAAATTTTACATTTTTTAGAATAACTCGCATATAACAAATAATTACAAATTATTCACATCCTGAGAGAATAAAGACAAATATTGCAGAAAAAGAGCAGATGCGAAAATTATTAATGTGTTTTATTTTAGCGATATCTTCATGTCAGTTAATAATTAAATAAATTTAATAGTAGTTTTAAACAGAGGAAAAAGGTAAATGTATAAAATTGAGTATGTGTCTCAATGAGGGTCTAAGAAACATTAATTGATTATACCTGATGTGTGTTATTATCAAATATTTAATAGAATTGAGATTACTGATTGAATATTTATAATTATATTTATTATATAAAATGAATTACGATTATAAGACAAAGTTGTAAAATAAATTAATTTATTGCGTTACTATGCAAACACATACAAATATTTAGGAATATGTATGATAATTGTTATACAATATAAAATTATATATGTTGATTGTATATATCGTAAATAAGTCTTTTTTGTTAAAAAATACGTCTTACAACGACATTATTTATAACATTTTAAATTTCTTTAAATGTAAACAAAAACTGACAGTAGTGACTATATTAGTAAATAAATGTATATAAGTGAACGAAAATCTGTGAGTGTGAAGATCTTGATCGTGATCATGCGGTTATGATCCCTCTATAACATAGTTCAAAGTACAAAAAAGTGAAGTAACGAATTATGAAATTTTGTTATTAATAATTTTGTTATTAATAATTCTAAAATGTTTTAATGTCAAAGCTGATACGTTTTGGAACAATGTTCGTGTGCAAATGTTAGAACTGACCTAATAATTGGAAAAATTTGCGAGGGGATCTGACTGACAAAAGAAAAGAATAAGAGAGAAAGAAAGAATACTCGTAAGATGACTAATTTTGCTTACAAAGTTCCAATATTTTAGAAAAGGAAATTTCGCTTGAATTGGATTGAAAAAAATCGTTTTTTGCATTTTCTTTAAGTTTTACATTTCAAGAATGTCCAGTTCATGTATTATAGCGATATTTGCGAAATTTACAAAGTTACATGACTTCTTAAAACGGTTATCGCATGAGCAAATAGAAAATAATTCCCTGCTGTTGCGACCTGCCTAATAAGCACAAATAAGTTTAGGAAATTTTCCCTTTTTAAGCAGGGGGGAGGGGACTTTCTACACGCGGATAAGTAAGTGAAGTAGGCGGATGCTCGATTTACTTCTGCTTTAACTGTACAGGGTGTATATATAACTAAAAAAATATATATGAATTTAATTTACATTTTACACATTTTTAAAAAACAAAACAATAAGTAACTTCAAATGAAGTTTTATCCATGTGTGTGTGTGTGTGTGTGTGTGTGTGTATTATACAATTTTAGTTTATAGATTAAATTAATTCCAAGTATTGATTGTATAATTCTTTAATTATTAATTTCAACTTTTTTGTGCTCGTGACTGTCGTTTACTTATTGTTTTGTTTTTTAAAATTGCTCGAGCGTTGATATTATTATTACACACTATTATTTATTTTATCCAATAAAGTTTAAATTTGGAAAGGTTCCGTTAAATAAATTTCTGTCGGGGGTGAATCTATAAAATTCCTGACTTTTTTTAAATTAAACATTTTTTAGGTGTCTTTAAATATAAAAAAAGTAAAAAAAACTCTTCGTGTTTGCTAAGGCGTACTATATTTGGCAATTTTTAGAATTTTCTTCATCAAAATTTATTCCGTAAAAGAAAGTGTTATTTATAACATGCTTTTTGGTTTTTCGTTTCAGATAAAATAAAATCACAAAATATCATGCCTACTAATTTAAACAAATTTTCCGGCGACGCGAATAGCATAATTTCATATTAACACTGAAGTGAATAATTAATCTTTTTAATAAATAGAAATTGTAATTAAATTCAAATATTGTATATAGTATAAATAAGCCTTGCAAATTTAAAGAAAATCGATGAAAAACATTCACCAACAAATAATTTTTTAGTATTACCCAATTTTCGACCCAATTCAGGCAAAACCCTCTTTAAAAGATTCAAAGATTTAAAAGAAATTGAAAACAAAAAAGAAGTCTAATATAATATAATGATGCGCGAATGCAAAAATGAAATTTGTTAGATATCTGAATTTGCAAGAATATAAAAATCAATATAATTTCTAAAAAATTTTTAAAGTTTTCGAAAATACAATTTATACATAGAAGACATTCTTATAACTATATGTAGACGTATTAGTTTTTAAATATTTCTCTTCCTTTATTTACATTTAATATTATAGTAGCATCAGTTAAAGAAATATTAAAATAATTGAGCTTAAATGTTAAAAAAGTTAAATTTATATATAGTTAAAATTACATATAATGCCGAAGTGTATTAATTTCATATTTTTTTTTTATTACTTTTCTTGTGAAAAATATTTTACTTTACCTTTTGAACTCTTTTTTTCTTTTCTATTTATAGAATTAAGAATCCCTTCTTCTGAATTGCATTTTCAGTGTATTTTTGAAACGTTTTTAAATAGTCTTTAGAAATTTTGTTGATTTTTCTATTCTTAAAAATCTAAATACTGAAAAATTTTTATTTTCTACAAAAATTAAGTAAATCTTTAGGTCTTTAAATGTATAATTACTTTATGAAAAAAAGAAAAATTTATAAAAAATTTTAATATTTTAGAAATGTACGTAAATTATGATACTCTGCATAAAATATAAAAGAATTTTTTTAACAACATAATTCGTTACAAGCTACAGTGTTTCCATTTATGCATTTAAATAAGCAAATTACTATCTGTCTTATTAGATAAAATATATTCTGCTTCATTTTGTTGTTATCTACAGAAGTTTAAACAAATTTGCGATTTTAATCGACTATAGTAATGTAAGTAGTTATATGATACATAAAATCGAACAAAAAGTTAGAAAATAAGAAATAAATATATATTCAAAATGTTAATTACGTTGTATTTTTATTATTAATACCTATTTTTTCTGATGTCATTTAGTATTACTTCGAAATCTATAACAAAACAATTTTTTTTTAATAGTATTTTATACTAGCTAAATAGTATTTATTTATTTTTAATTTCATGCTACACAACACACACACACACACACAACACACACACAAGAGGTAAATTTAATATTTTATACAATATCTTATCTCATACAACACAGGAGCGTTCATTCGAAGAATGAATACCGATTTGGTGTTCACTTCATGTCCTGATTACGTTCTCGAAGAGATATCCAAAGAACGATCTTTAGGCATTTATTTTATAGGTCCCAATTATTCCGATCTGAAACGGGCATATAAGTGTCCTTTAGATAGACGAACTGTTACTTCGATCGAACTTTGCTCCTCAGTTACTCTTTATTTTTTCCGATATTCTCGTTTGTATATTCTTTCGCAAGATGATGCAGGAAAATAATGCAATGATTACACAGGAACAAATACACAGGAACACCATTTTTATTTCGCTGTGGCTATACAATTACAAAATATGAACGCTCCTCTCACTTTGAGCGACTTATAACGACACTGAAAATCCTATAATAAGAGTCATGTCATACGGTAGCTAGGTTTGATTGGTTCGTTAGGTTTTGTCAATTTTCGCGTATATATATTTAAATCACTATATTTTAGGTGTCATAAATGCATACATACATACATACATACATACATACATACATACATACATACATACATACATACATACATATACATATTGTACTTATATCCAAATTTACACGCGCCGCTCTCTTATAGTTATTCAAATTTACAATATTTTATCGCGAAATAATAACGTATAAACGTATAAAAATTTACATTAAATTATATTACATTTGTACAGAGTGGTTAAATAAACTTCTCAATAGTATTTATGAACTTAATGTAAATATAATTATATCCTCTTTTAGATACTCTATTGAATGGGGGAGAAAGCCTCCAAGACCTAACTAACGACTCTTTCTAAATCATACAATTTTTGTTTAAAAAATTTCTTTCTAAAACTAACGGGTTTTGACTTATTTGAGTGGATAAATTAATATGAACTATATCCTATACGTGCGTTGGATGCATGCATGCATGTGTATTAAAAAGCAAAGGGTATGCTATATATATTCTGTACATCATAATAACATATAACTTGAATTTTTTTAATTTTTTCATTAAAAAGAATTAAATATCTAATATTTACAGAATAAAGAAAAAATAAAGCTAATAAAAATACAGAATGATTAAAGTGTGTCAATTGTATTATCTCATTGGGTCGTTCATATAAATACACAATAAAAAAAAATAGGAAATAGGGCGCGTAGTTTATCAGAATTTAATACATAGATAAATTCACATCAAACTATTTAAGCACAAAAATTTTTATTATTGTACGTTTCGACTCTCCTTGGAGTCATTCTTAGCGGTCAAATTATAAAACTCTGAAAATTTATTCTCATTCAAAATCGAATCACTCACAGGTTGTTGTATCTAAAAAAAAATGTTTAAATATTTATTTGTTATTTCTAGCTCGCGGAAACAATTTCATCGCGAAAAGCAAGTGCTGTGACAGCTTTCTGATGTCCTTGATATTCTCGTTCTACTGTTCCTGTAGATGCATTCCACAATCTTGCAACTCCATCTGAAGAAGCTACAATTATAATATATTAAAAATAAATTATATAAATATATTAATAATTATATAAATATATTAAAATATTTTACATATATATATATATACACACACACATATACATATAAGTTTACTAGATACTTAAAAATATGATTACAAATTTTTTAACAATTTATAAGATGAAATATTTATTACAAATTACGTAAGTATACAAACATTTGCGTGCAAATTCTTCTTATTAAGAAAAGGGAATGTTTGAAAAAGAAGAGATACTCACCGGTAAATACATATTGAGAATCTGCACTAAATGCCGCATCCCAAACCCAACGTTTTGCCTCATGTTGAAGTACTTGTACTTCGGAAAAATCTGTTGTTCTCCATACTCGCGCAGTCTGATCAGCCGATGTTGTTACCAATGATCTTAATAAATTAATTCGGATATAAGCTATTATATATTTAGTAAAGGGAATAAAAAATTGTTGAAGATAACATGCTATTATTTCTTTGTTAACATTTTATAACAAACATTTTAAGATAGAATATACAGAATATCGTTTGTATCTTCAATTAATTTTTTACTTGGATCTAACAAAATCTAAATTAATTAGTCCAATAAAAGTGAAGAACGGCAGAAGTGTTGGTAAGAGAATAATTTCATCGTTCATCAGAAAAACCGGTCTTACTGTGTCTGATCGCGCTTGAAAATCATCGATTAATGCTGAGTGGTACACAACAATTTGCCTTTCGACTGTATTTAAAAATATTCGTCAAAATCGGCCAAAATCGCGCATCATCGTGCTCACGACTCTCGCGCCGTCAGTATATACTTATAGCGCTAATTCAAACTTAAACTAATTTTAATTCCTAATGAGACGTGTTTTAAACTTAATATAATAAATGTAATAAATGTATAATAGACTTAACACTGGTTAACTTGTGTGTTAACAGAGTTAATAACCTGATATTTCATCCAATAGGCTTCCTCTATGATATCGTAGATGAAGATCATTGGACAAAACATTAGGTTAAATCACAAGTTAGCCAGATAATAAAAAACTAGGCCTATGTAATATATACATAAATTCTTGAAAATAATAAAAAAATGTCTATCCTAAAAATAAAGAAATACTCACGTAGAATCAGGACTGAATTTGCAGCGGAGGGCATAACGTTTATGAGCTAGAAGCTTATGACGAGGATTAAGTTTGGTAGGTTCTTCTCCGATACCTCCTGAAAGCGTCCAAATGTAACAGTGTCCTTTATTGTTTACCGCAGCCATGTAAGTGCCATCTTGATCTATTGTAATATCTTGAATCGAAGATTCAGCTTCAGGAATCTATAATAAAAATATTAATATCATCTTAAGATTAATCTATTATGTCTACAATTTTCAAGCGTTAAATAACATTTGCTTCAACGTTTAATAACTTGGTGACAAAAAATCGTAGAACGTTAACTAAAAAGCAAACTGAAGGTAAAGACTTTTCTGATCCACACGCAGTCAGTTGAAATGAAATCTTCCCTTCGGGAGATTCAAGTTTAAATCCCGGCTGACATAATACTTTTCGTAATAAAATTTTTTTTTTGTTTTTATTAAATAAAAAAATCAAATTTAATTTAGGAGATTATTTCAATTTGACCATGTTGCAAATTCGAAAGTGATCGGCAAGCAGTTATGTAAAGTAAAATGTATTCAAAATAAATTTCATGTTAAATTATTACTATAATACATTTAACTTTGACCGTAGTAGTGCTTTTTCTTAGTTGATAATTAATGAAGGGATCTTTTCAACAAGCAACAAAAAAAAAATGTGTAACACAGTGATTTCATCTTTGTTTAACATCGGTGAACAGGGATGTAATGATCCATTGTGTTACACTGTATCATATGTCTTTTGTTGGAAAGCTACTATAATCTTGTTTCTTATTATAAAATTTTCAGATATAAAAAATAACATACTAATTGTTCATTATGATCGGAACGAAGATCCCATAAATGTATGACTCCACTTTGATCGCCAACAATTAGTTCTGCTTGATTGGGATGTAAACATACACAATTTACAGGTGCAGATACTTGAAATATTCTTTGGCATTGAAAGCTGCTGGATCTATCATTAAATTTATATTATTAAAAATAGAATTTAAAATATAAACTATTCTTTATAAGATTTCTGTATAAGATTTACCTCAAATCCCATACTCTTGCAGAACAATCTTCTCCTCCAGTATACATCCACTTTCCTTCTTCCTATTTATAAAAAATATTTCCTCTTTCACATAAGAACGAAAATAAGAAACAACCTTCTAAAAGAAGATATTTTATATATTTCATATCAAATGTATTTAAGAATAAAGTATAAAATATTTCATAAATTATTGATTTTTTATTGTATCATTTTATTTTAATACTTTTATATGCAATGTAATAAGAAAATTCATATTATGTAAAAAATCATAATTTTGTTTTCAAAAATGGCAATGACTTTCCTGTTTCTAAAAACTCAATTTCGTTTTAAATTGATTTTACTGTGACTTGTTGCTTTTAAAATAATATAATCATTGTGTTCACATCTTTTTTTAAACTTTTTTTTTTTCAAGGTATTCAAGTGTAATCAATGCATATTTTATGCTTTTAGAGTGTTTAAATGCCTTTAGACGTCTGTCTTGTTGCTGGCATGTTGCTCGTATGTGTTGCTATTAAAATTATAGCAACAGAATCCGCACTTGTTAGCGACTAACTTGTGAAAAGGCGAAATACAACAATAACCAGTTTGTAAAATATGTATAAAAAAATCATTCTATATATAAAAGTATGTAATATTGTCATAAAACCTGAAAACCTAAACTGGTAATATTTTTCGATACTCCTTCATAGTTAATAACTGGATTCGGATTATTTGAAGCTAGATCATACATTCGTATATGCTGATATCCAGCAGCAGCTACAACATATTTGTCTGGTGTGATATCCAATGCATTAACTTGCTGTAAATTTTGTTAAGAAATTTAAATACTCAAAAATTCAAAAAGGAAAAGTTTTTAAAATATTCTTATTAATAATTAAAATATATAAAATTTTTTAAAAATGTATTTCTCTATTAACCACAATAATATAAAACTATTACCATCTATTTTATCTACAATGTATATAAGGCTTGTTTTAATAGTACATTTATTTAATATAATTTAATAGAAAAAAAACTACACAATATATATGAAAGATATTATTTCACAGTAAAGGATACAGAATCTGTATGTTGACAAGTACGTTGACAGACACCCGTATGCGGTTGCCATATTTTGATAGTATGATCATAACCTCCCGTAACAAAAATCACTTGTTCATTGCTAATTGCGCAATCGGCAGTCATTTTCAATTTATTTATATCTCAGATTTACTAAATTAATTGAATAATTATTTAGTTTAGCTATACTAAATAAAGAATCACACAACAAGTCCCGGAAGAAAACAGTGTCGATCACGATGGGCAGTGTAGTGTTGTTGCCACCACCGCCACCACTAAAAACGATTTTGTATCAACTAAGGCGCGGAGTCACACATGTGGCTACGTTCATGGTATCTTTATACCATGGCTACGTTCAGAATCATTATCGAGTGTGTTGAGTGCACCCAGGTGTCATGTTATCCTTGTTTATCATTAGCGAACAACAAGGATAAAACATCTAAGTGCATCCAGACGATTCTGAACGCATCCCTGCGCAATGCGGAATGCGGAACGGCGGAATGTTGTCACGAATATTTGATTCAATCTCGGTCGTTTCACATATAGGAATTACATATTTTATTGACTCGCAACTTTATGATGAAGAATAATGGAAAAATAGATGTTTAATAGATTTTTAATAATTTTACAATTTACTGTAACACATTGGAAATGACCTAATCGGCGTCGAAACGTTTGTTTTTTGTAATTAATATTATTTATTTTTATGGTTGAAATTATAGAGTTCTTTGTTATACTACTGGCCCTTCTTTTGTCTATATTGTTTTATACTTGCAGAGCCTCTTATTATTATTTATTATTTTTACATATTTTAATTACATGAGAATGACACAGAGTATGTTTGAATATTTATTATCGAAAATAGGGCCTTTGATAGCAAAAAGTAGAAACAAATATGAGAAAACCATTCCAGCAGTTGCAAAACTATCGACGACTATACGATATATAAACTTATTTGCAAAAGAAACGAACAAATTAATTTTTATTTACATTTATTCGGCAACTGGAGCTGGATTACATAGTATCTCACTCAACTCGATTTAGGAGAAGTACTATGACATGATTATATAATAAAAGAATTGTTTACACCCCATCTGAGAATGAATGGCGAGAAATTGCCTACGAGTTTGAACAAAAATGAAACTTTCCGAATTTATTGGTGCCTTGGATGGGAAGCGTATTACTATAACTGTAATATTATATTGAAACATATACGAAATAATATTACAAAGTATATGAAATTTTAATGATAATATAAATTAATAATAAAATTATTTCCAGTATCTTAAAAAAGCAGGAAGCACATATAATAATTATAAACAATCCCACAATATAGTGATATTAATACTTGTAAGCGTCTTATACAAATTTTTGATCGCTGATAATGGTGCACAAGATAGATATAGCAATGGAGGAATTTTTAGAAATTCTATTATGGGATAACGGTTTTATAACAATATGCGTTTACCAAAGCCTCCTGTTATTAGTGCCAGACATCAAGTGCCGTATGTTAATGTGGTTGGAAGAAAAGATAGTTCCTCTAAAGCTCTGCTAAATGGATATTATGTCCTAGATTGATACAACAATGCTAAGCAACAACGACAAGAATAACGATAGGAATATAAAAATAAGCAATAATTTTGTCACTTCCTATTGCACAATGCTGTGAAAAAAATATAAGGACTAACCAAGCAGACGCGTATATAATACACACTCCTATACTATTTCAAGATTACAGTGTATATAAATAGAATGAAAAATTCAATAAGAAATAGAAAATTTCAAATAACGAAAAACAAAGGGCTAATGAGAGTAAAAACGCTGTTCTTAGTGCGATTCTATACAATTTATATAGAATCGCACTAAGAACAGCGTTTTTACTCTCATTAGTCCTTTGTTTTTCGTTGTTAGAATGAAAAATCTAAATGCTTGGTTATAAGGCGATAAACACAGAATTCCAACTCGGAAATTTGTCATTATTGCCTTATTCTATACATTAATATGTGCATACTCGAATGTAGGATTTCTCCGATTTTTATCGCTATCGTTCTATTGCCTCGCATTGTTTAGGGCTTTAGTTTAATGTATTATGCATTATATATAAGAAAATCAACCAATCAAAGTCCCTCATTTTCTTTCTTTCCATAAAAGACTCAAATTGATTAATTTTTTTTACTTTATGCAGTATACGTACCAATAAAAATTTATGCCTGTAGTTTGTTTTTATTGATACGCACACGCATGTACAGTATATACAGTAAATAAACACAAAAACATCAATATTTGAAATTTATAATTACATTCACATGAATCTGATTTCATTGTTTCTATGTACATATAATAATTTGGATATAATATAATATATAAGAAACTGTTTCCTACAAAACTTATTCTGTAAGAAATATTTAATATATTTTTTATCTTTCTCACTTTATTTCTTCGTTCATTTAAGATAATCCATACAGAATTTGTAATCACAAGATAATCTTTAAAATATATTCTGTATTTTTCTGGACTTCTGTAGCATTCTTAACAACATAATACTCATAAGTTTAATTCTTTTTCCTGCTCCCTCATCATATATGTAAAATGAAAATATCATACGAATAAATTACAATACATTTTCATTTTTCATAAATGTCATTACAGTAGAGCTTCTATACACAAGATATGGAAATGTTTACTATACGATAGTAAGTAACACGTCAAGTATTTCCACATACTATGTACAGTAACTATAAGACTAGACGTTCAAGGAAAAATTAAAATAAAAACAATTATTAAGAATGTAAAGATTTAACTGCTGATAATCTAAGCTTATAGTAGCGCAAAGAATGTCTAACAATTTTATAATTGGTTGTATTTTTGAATAATTGGAACATTATTATATCATTTTCAACCTACTGAGAGCACACATGACAAGTATGAGTGTAGTATGGAGTTTATAACAGAGAATCACTGAATCTCACAGATGAGGTAATGTGTCCACTTCACCCATTTCTGTAAATGTTTCATCGTCCATTGTGTAGCTTAACATACACTTCAAAGATACAGGCTCCTGAAACAAATAATCAATTTTCCACATAAAAAGAGAAACATTAAGATAAACTTTGCTTATATAAATCACTGCTTTCTCATTATTTCACATTTATTACATATACGTAAAGTGAAAACATTTTTGTATAAATTATAACTAAAATGACATCTTCATTGCACGCATGCACATATAGTATAAACGCACGTGCACAAAGTGATTTTAAATGTCTCTCTTATATATGTTTTACAAATATTTTATAAATGTAGATATATGTATAAGTACGTATATATTCCAGATATAACGCACCACTTGCAAATCTTTACATGCAAATTCTTTAAGTCATTTAAAGACAAAAATTCTAATATTGATATGTTGAGACTACAATAGTTTTCAAATGGTATACGTTTAAAAATGTCCAATCTGGTTGTTTAATATTTCCATGCTCAAGTACGTTACATAGTAAAGAACATGAATGTTAAATATTATCATATTTTTGCATATTGCATGCGTGCCATACGTAATTCATCTTCGTACGTATCATTTTACAAAAATATAGAATTTATTGCCACGAAATTATACATCAAGATTAATGTTATGGTTACTGGATCAAAAGAAAAATCAATCCGCTTTCGTAAGAGAAATTTCATTCACGAATAAATCATGTTTTATTCATGACAACATAAGGTGACAATATAAGGACGTAAAATAATGAGTGTAAGATTTCGTGCACTATAAAGTCCGAAATCTCATCTATGATATATTGATTTTTTAACGTCAATGGTTTTGCATTTTTCAGCTCTAGAGCTTAAAATAAACAGGTCTGGATTAGATCTTCCATTCGTCCGTAAAATGCAAACAAATACACGTTAAGAATGATACGTTACCAGGGGGGAATATAAAAAGTTATTTTTTAAAAGTAACTTTTTATATTCCCCCCTGGTTACAGTCACTCAATACCAAGTAGAAAAAGTAACAAGTTATCATTACTAGTTACTGATTTTTTTAAATAATTCATTACAATTATCGTTATTTAAAAAGGTAACTTTGCATTAATTTTCCGTTACTTTTTTAAAATCGATAATCACCAGTCAATTAATAAAAATACCCATTCCATTCTATTTAAAATAATTGAACTATTTATTATCAAAAGGAATAATCACAATTATATTACCTTGAGAGGATTTGCAATCAACATAATCTGTGTGATTGCGGATGGAGGGAGAAATGGATTATGCGCTGGCAGCTTTGTTCCAGAAGGTGCCTGCAGTCTACATTTGCACTTCTATGTATAATTACAAAATTAAAGTTAAAAATATCACTACTAACAATTATAAGCAACTTAATGCAATAGTTATCTTCCTATAAAACGATTATATAATGGATTGTTGAGATAATTACAGAAAATAGTTTCCACCTAAAATATTAAGTTGCCAATAATCTAGAGGAATTTTAAAGAAAACTATTGCCGTAAAAAAAAATTTATTCGGTACGGTTTTGGTACGGAATAGGTTGTATATTTCATTGCTCAACGGTAAATATTTCAAAAATATATTATACTTTCATTTTTGGAAGCCCTTAGTTTCTCTTAAAAAATTATTTCATTATAGAAATAACACAATTGAAAAATCGATCAATGCTACGTCTTTAATCTTATTGTGTGGTTTTTTAAATTTAAGAAATTGAACTCTCTCCGTCCTTCTGGTGGCAGTGCCGCAGACTATTCAACGCATCATCTATTCAATTGACAGAAATAGGGATTAATGGCTCTTGCACATTGGACGCGGAAACGCTTACTACGCGACAAAATGTAACGCGATAGCCAATAAGCTTCACATGTTCATTGGTTACGTCGCATGCCACACGGCAAGCGTTTCCGCGTCAGTGTGCAGAAGCCATAAATATTTTACGGTTTCCAACAGATTATGGCAACTTTTATAGCAATAAGTATGTAAGTATTTCCGCATGTTTGCGCAAGCAACCCTTATTCGCATAATGCCTTTAGATTGCCTTAAACGAAATTATTATTCTAGTAATGACAATAACATGAAAACGACTGAAGAAAAACTTGTGCTAAGTACTTAGCATCTTTCTTTATTATTCTTTATTATGTAGAGGAAAGTATTATCTCGGTAAGTTATATCGAAAATATTTTATATTTGATTTTATAGATTCCTAAGAGATTTAGAAGATGTTATGTCTTAATACGTACCTTAGACACAACCGCTTGAAATAAATAATTATTAAGTGGCTTTACGTTTTTGCTCATTGTAGTAATTACTATTACAGATACATCTGATCTAGGGCTATCCTGAGCAAAATGAAGCACCACAGTTATGCCATTTCTTTCTTCAATCACCGTTAGAGGTGGATTTGTCCCTGAAAATTAATTGGCATTAATTTTTTTTTAAACTACGCACATGCACATGCGTAAACGTGTACATAGGTACGCACACATGCAAGCGTGTACACGATGATCTACCTAAAACAAAACACAGAAATAGATTAAAAATTAAACTCAATAGGCAAAATGTTTCAGACAAAAGTTGTATGGCTTAAATGATGGCTTGATGAGGCATAAATAATGATGAAATCAATTTAAAGAAAAAAAATTTTTTTTTAAAGTCGCATGAAGATCACTATTATTTTCTTAAATAGAATAATATGATTATTTTACATAATATAATTTCTCTAATTATTCTGTATATGAAAGTATTAAAATGTGGATATAAAAAAATCGATACTGTCAGAGTTATGTATTTTATATTTTTATGTTAAGTATAATATTAGATAAATCAATTAATGTAAAAAAACAGTTTAAAAAAAAATGTGTTGCAGAATGCAACATTTTTCAAATAAATATGTTATTTATGTTACTAATTATTCATCTCGTTATTCTAGGCATAAAGGTATTAAAGGCATAGTTACCAAAAAATGAATAGTTTAAAAGTTTAATTCTCATTTAGGTCTCATACGTTTGTAACAATTAAATAAGCAGCGTGCACACCACAAGCATGAGAGAGGTGTAATACAGATCAGAGGCCTAACGTAGGAAAAAAATTTTACATTATTTAGCCTCTTTTGAATCATGTAACACTTTTACCTGAAACATTTTTGCCTACCAGGTTTAGTTTTCAATGTATTCTGATCTTTTATAGATGGACTATCTTCTAAGAAATAAAAACACAAAAAAATTGAAAACGTGAACAAAGTAAAACAATGTTATGATAGATAAAATATTTATACTCGTATTTAACTAATAACCTGGTTTAATATCTTCAAGGCAGACAGTGATATCAGTCAATGGTTTGATTTCAGGCTCAGTATTTGCTATCCTCAATATACCATTACACAATTGCGACATTTCCTGCGACTGTATTTTCACATCCATTATTTCTGAATTACTATCTTTCTTGCACAAATCAATATCAATTTTTGACAAATTTGAAGATGCAAAAATGTCTAAATCACTACTTCTTTCACATTTTTTTATACTCGGTTGTTCTGTTGCGGTATGTGACATATTATTAGAATTATGAGACGAATTTTGTGTCCTAGTAGTATCATAGGTGTTATTAATTTTTGTCACGTTACCATTTGTCTTGCTGCAAAAAATTAAATATTTTTTTAATTATAAACTTTGAAAATTTGTTAAGTATACAATTTAATCTAAAGTATTACAGTAGACAAAACGTGTTAAATCATGTTTTTGTTAAATAACTTATTTTAATAAAAGTTTTAGAAAAAAATTCTTAAATTTTAAAAGAGAGATACATAATAATTGTGATTTTGAGTGACTTCGTTAAAATTAATAAACTTTGAATCTTTTTATTGCAATATTCTTCTAAATAATATAGAAATATTTTTAAATTGATTTAATTATAAATTCTTTTGTGAAGAACTTTTCAAATTAGCTACAGAAATTAGTATCGTTGATAATATTCAACCTTTGCTATAAGGCTGAACGTATAAATTCTCTTCTACCAAGACTATATGATCTGTCAAAAATATATAAATTTAATACCCCTCTCAGATCAATTATCAGTGCCATAAAATCCCCGGCATGATTTCTCATGTTTCCTAGCTCACGAATTACAACCTCAACGATAAATACGCAGAAAACATCTAGACACTTAATTCCTCGACAGCGAATACGACAGACAACACCTAGACATTTAATTCCTCGACGACGTTCTTAAAATTTTTATTTTGAATAATTTGCGCCGCGCACGTCACAACCATCATGTGTGGTCACGTACAAATGTGCAATGCTGCAAACACTGGTCTGCTAGTTAGACAATAGTCAAAAGTCTATTGTCGAAAAAACGAAACGTACATTCTGGATAGTCTCGCTGATATTATTATAATGCTTATATAATGCTTAAAAATAACCTTAATGGAGAACACCTAGCTACCCACTTCCTCGATGGCGAACACCTAGAAACTCACTGCTTCGACGGCGAACATATAGACAATACTAGACATTTAATTCCTTGACGACGAATACCTAGACACATAGTATCTCGATATTACATTTTAAATAAATTGTACCACGCGCGCATCGTGTTGTCACATACAACACTAGTCTACTAGTTAGACAGATTGAACAGAAACACTACCGTGTCTCTAAATAATAGCCAAAAGCCATCTATTATCGAAAAAAACAAAACGTACATTCTGAGCTGGTCAACGATGACAATAATAATAATAATAATAGGATGTACCTGAATCTGAAAAGTGATAGATTCGGACTTTGCATCGCAATATCTCTCCGCCTTTGGGATACGTAGAGTAAAAATAAAAGCACATATAATACACCCGGAATGTAAGCTATCGATTAAGTATACATAAAAACTCAATTGATTAAGCCCTCATTGAAATTTAATAATCTCAGTTTGCCGCAACTCGCCGGCTCGCGTAAAGGACACGGCAGTGTTGCTGCACTTAGCGCTTAGACACTACCGTGTCTCTAGATAATTAAAAATAATTCTTGGCACTGCAAAGTCAAATCTTGTTTTATTTAGTTTATAATCGGTGTATAAGCTTTATGAAGGCTCTCTGTGTCCATTTGGACATTAAGACTATTTTTTTTGTTTTTTTAATACTCAGCACCTTCGAAATTTATTTAAGACTAAAAAAATTTTAATTTTCATAAATATGCTTACCCTTGTGACAAGCGTGTAGTTGACACTGTACCCGATAAACTTTGTTTAAGTAAAGTTTCGCCCAATTCATTCAATTCTTCCAATGCTTTTGCTTTACTGTCTATTTTTTCTTCGTCAGTGTTGGTAATTTCGCCTATGGAATATCGTTATTTAGAAGAATAATACAATATAATAAATATATGCAAAATAAATAATTAAAAAATATAAACTTTAGCATTTTGCAAGTATCCGATTATTTGCATTAAATTTTTTTAATTGCAATTTATGCTTACTTTTCTTATTTATGGGCGAGATACTAATTGGTTGCATTATGGTGTTTGGCATTAAAAAATTTGTTTCAGATTTAATTGGTTTGTCTAATACATTAAAGATATCTCCTAATACATCCATATCTGAGCGATGGTCCATTGATGATGTACTCTGCATGCTTAAACTGTTCTTACAAGAAATCATTTCAGTAGGAGACGATAGATCCAGAAGGGATGGTTCATTGTAAGTTAGCTTAGAAGCCTCTGTCGCACATTTGGGGATTTGCCCAAGAACGATAATAGACGTGTACTTCTCAAAAACTTGATTTAACTCATCACTCGCAGCTAGTACATTACCTGATGTCACAGAATGCACACAAAATTAATTAAAAAGAATAATGATTTATTGATTATATATGTATAAATTAGTGTAACGAAAAATATTAATGCAGACAAATAAGTAATAAGTATTGATGTCCAATAATTCAATTTGTGGTATTTTAAAAAATAATTCGATACCTAAATTAAAATACTTTATGTATTTTGACTCGCGTTATATTATATAAGATGTACAGATTTTCAGTTTTGAAATAAATATAATTTTGCGGCTTAATTTTTTAAATTAAATTATAGTAAAAGATGAATAAATCGTTATATTAGATATAACAAGATATGATAAGATACCAAGCATTTCAACATTGCCCTGAGCTTCACTGGCGAGTCTCAACAAAATAGGTTTCAATCGTTCGCACGCTTGATACAACTCTTTCATTAATTCAAGATCCTCTGCACTAGTTTCATTCTGATTATACGAATCTAGCATTTCTGACAGCAGTATTACATTATTTTGCACAGATTCTAACTCCATGCCTCTTCGCGAGTTTAACTGCAGTCGTTCCTCATCCTATAAAAAGAGATGTTTGTAATAAAAATCTTTGAAAATATAAATGTAAATTCCAAAAAATTTAAAGCATATCAAAATAAAAAATACGAAAAATGAAATACAATTGACGCTCCTTATTCCCGAATTCATTACTCACAGTCGACATAACTGATTACATTTCTTTATTCGCGATAGCTATTACAATATTCACGGATATAACTATGTTACATTTGTTTAAGAAAACATGCTAAGAAATCATTTTTTTGTAGGAACAATTGAGCAACAATTAAAAATAATTAAATTTAATACTGCTCACTTTATTCTGCTAATTTATAAAACGTAGTGCATCGTTTATTCTTGTTGCTCATCACATGTTAAACAAAGATGCATTATGTGCATCATATGTGAAACAAAACGCATCTATGGTGTCCAATGACTTCAAGGCCAAAGTGATAATATCAATAAATAGATCTTTTTGAACTCTACAACTTTTGTCTAAATTTTTCTGTAATTTATATTTTCTGAGATATTCAGAGATCCTGACCTTTTTCAGACATCCTGTACATTTAACCATTTCATATTCACAAATTATCGTATTGAGTACGTAACATCTGCAGTTAAAGAACGTCGATTGTATTTGAATTTCAATTTTTTTTAAAGATTTTATGTCAAATATTTCTCTAAAATGTAGATACCTCTTTCACCATAAATTTAATCAATCGGTTTGCAGATTGCAAATCAGAAGGATCCTTACTGTGAAGTAATCTACGCAAATGCTTTGACATTTCTTCATTTTCGAATATATTATTTTTTATCTTAGACGATTTTTTACTTTCTTCATTGTTTGCCATTATAAATGCAGCATCTTCCTGTAATTAGTACTTATCCTATGTACATTGCAAATCTTTAATAATTAATTAATAAATAATTCAATCTGAATAATATTGTCACGTTAGACTTTAATATTGTCATGTTAGAAAAACAAGAAAATATCTGCAAACATAATTGTCAGACTATATACAAATGTAACATTTGACAAAGATAACCTCAACGACTCCTTGCTTCTTCAACATTTCGTAAGCCTCCTTAATTTTTGATTCGCGAGGATATTCTCTGATCCATGCATAAAGAAGTTGTAGAACCTTTTGTCGTACACTCACTGTAGTGCGATTACCTAAATATTTTGGTGAAACTAATTTTATCATCTCATTAAGAAAACGAAATTTACCAACTTCTGCATGAAATAATGGGCCACATCTCTTCATACAAGTATCTAGTAACTGAAAACATAAAAATCTACATGTACAAAAGTCGTGTATTTAAAATTT